AGTCAGAAAGGCACACTCTTAAGATTTATTTCAATCTGCTTATGAAAAGCAATTAGAATTATTACTGTGGATTTTCTTTCATAGCTGTGCAGTCTCATTTTTAAACCCATAAAGACAGACAATAACTAAGAACGGTTGCACTAATATATCACCATGTAATCCAAGCTTCAATTTTAGCCTAGCCCGAGAGAAAGGATGCTTTAAAGTAAAGTTTTAGATTTTAGGATTATCAGGACACGCTAACCATAAACGATTGAAATGAAATAATACATTTAACTTCGACTTTGTCGGGGGATTAATGACACAAAATATTAAATTTCAATAACATAGGTGAAATGTTTTAAATGACATTCAACATGCCAGAATTATGAAATTGGTGAAGCATCAAATAAAGGAACTATATAGGAAAAAATTAAATCATATTTACTTTATTATATAATTTATTTATCGTATTATTGAATTGATAAATTTTGCAAGATTTTATTGGTTTTTGTGAATGCGTAGAAAGAAAGTCTTGATACTAAGGGTTGGGCTTTAACGACGAACCATTATTTGAAATAAATTAGTAATACAGAAATCAAAGACTGTAAGAAATAACACTCCATGTAACACCCCAGTTAATTCTCTATAATGTGAGGGGAACACAAATGAGTGAACATTTAATATAATAACTTATGTGCAATTCATTTTTTCTAGAATATTGCTATCATTACACTTAAAAATGGTTTATTAATCTCCCTCATATATTAGCGTTGAAGTTTTAGCAGCCTGGAGCTGAATATTGATTAATTGGTTATGTAGTTGATACGAACAGGACACAAGGGTTTCACTGTCGTACATGCGGCATATGGAAGAATTTGTGATCTAATTATTCGGTGTATTAACTTGTGTTTATCTTACTCTTATCAATATTGCAATCCATGCACATATAATTAAACGTGGTATATGAATGTAGGTTACACAAACAAAATGAACCTTTCCTGATGGATTCACGTTGAACTAACATTTAAAGAACCGGAATTCTGATCATTTCAAGAAAAAATATTGTAGTAAGGTTAGGAATAGATGTCCATCAGAGAACATTTGCTGTAGTGAGATTCTGATGAAACGTGCATCAGGGAACATTTTCTATACTAATATTTTAAAGAAGTATACATCAGAGAATATTTACTGTATTAAGAGTCTGATGAGGTGTATATCAGGAGGCATTTACCGTAGAAAGATTTTGACGAGATGTATATCAGGGAAGATTTGCTGTAGTAAGATTCTGAAAAGGTGTGTATCAGGAAAGATTTACTGTAGTAAGATTCTGAAAATGTGTGTATCAGGGAGGATTTACTGTAGTAAGATTTTGATGAGATGTGTATCAGGGAAGATTTACTGTATTAAGCTTCTGAAAAGGTGTGTATCAAGGAAGATTTATTGTAGTAAGATTCTGAAGAGATATGTATCAGGGAACATTTAATGTAGTAAGCATCTGAAAAGGTGTGTATCAGGGAAGATTTACTGTAGTAAGATTCTGAAGAGGTGTATATCAGGAAAGATTTACTGTAGTAAGATTCTGAAAATGTGTGTATCAGGGAGGATTTACTGTAGTAAGATTTTGATGAGATGTGTATCAGGGAAGATTTACTGTAGTAAGATTTTGAAAAGGTGTGTATCAGGGAAGATTTACTGTATTAAGCTTCTGAAAAGGTGTGTATCAAGGAAGATTTATTGTAGTAAGATTCTGAAGAGATATGTATCAGGGAACATTTAATGTAGTAAGCATCTGAAAAGGTGTGTATCAGGGAAGATTTACTGTAGTAAGATGCTGATGAGATGTGAATCAGGGAACATTTACTGTATTAAGATTCTAATGAGGTGTGTATTAGATAACATATACTGTACTAAGATTTTTATGGGTGTATGTATGTGTTAGATAGCATATAGTGTAGTAATATTTTAATGAAGTACATATCAAAAACATATTTGTATTAGAATTCTCTTGTCATGTGTATCAGGGAAGTTTTTTTTAATAATACTCTAATGTTTTCTTCGTCAGAGGAATACTGGTTTTAAAAAGGTTCTGATTAAATATGATAACAATATAACATTTGGAAGCTATTATATCATGTATATCAGTACCACCTTAAGCGACCTATTGCATTGGATAAAATAGTTGTTTTAGCCCTAATTAAGTCTAAGTCATAGTTCATTATGAAACAGTTACTGAAATCTGAATAAATTCACCATAGAAATTATCACCATATAAATTAACATTATCTTACGGTCAAAGCAAGCTGCCTACTTAGATAAATAGTAAAGATCAACCCGGTAACAAATATAGCTAATTATTTATGTATATTTTGTACGCTCTTACTTATTAAAGTTATAATGTATTCCTTCATCAGTTAGGTACCCTCTTTGTTAGCGAAATTTTGAGCTGTAAACCCAATAATATCTTACGAGGTTCTACCAGATTTGGAGATTTAGGTTAGTACTGAATATAATAAACTAACAATACAAATAATCGCTATAATAATAGTAAAACTAGGTATTCTAAATGTACTGTTAAAGAATGCAACATTAAAGGAAGAATAGAGTAGACCTCACAAGTACAACATGAAAGTACTAGATCAAGTTCTAGAGTGGATTCTTTCAGCTATATTTTTCATTAATTTATATATCTAGTTTCGAAAATATAATCAAAATATATTAGAAATAATAGCCAAAATTCAAATTATAAAATCAAGTTTAAATGCAGCGAAAAATCGTTATAACTCGTTGTAAAATACTCATTACCAGAAGATAAATCGTATAATTTTAACAGTATTGTCCATTACTCACGAAATTACATGCACTGTTCCATTATCATTGATGGACTAACGATCTCTTAAAAAAATATATTGTACTTTATACATGAGTACATCTCTAAATGTTTCAACCAGTAGTCTCAGTGTGCTATGGTATTTAACGCAGTGATATTTATTTTGGAAATTTGTTCTAATAAAAAATGTATTCAAGATATTTTTAGTTGAATAAAGAAAACGAAAGTTCTGAAGTTTCTTGAAACTTCTTGTAGTGAGTTTTAATTTTTGTTGTAAAAAGCAAAATTTTCAAGCGTAGAGTATCAGTACCTATACAGGTTTCTTACAATCTCATCTGAGCTTTTTTTTCTTCTATCCTTTAAAAACTGGTTTCTCATAGTCTTATCTGAGATTTCTATTCTATAAATAGAGGTTTTCTTAAAGTCTCGTCTGAACTCCCCATTCTACAAATACAGGTTTTTCTTAAAGTCTCATCTGGGTTTTCCATTCTACAAATATAAGTTTCTTAAAGTTTCATCTGAACTCTATTCTACAAATACAGGTATTTTTAAAGAGTCTCATCTGAGCTTTCCATTCTACAAATAGAGGTTTCCTTAAAGTCTCATCTAAACTCTCCATTCTACCCATACAGGTTTCTCATAGTCTCATCTGAGCTTTCCATTTTATAAACACAGGTTTTCTTAAAGTCTCATCTAAACTCTCCATTCTACCCATACAGGTTTCTCATACTCTCATCTGAGCTTTCCATTTTATAAACACAGGCTTTCTTAAAGTCTCATCTAAACTCTCCATTCTACCCATACAGGTTTCTCATAGTCTCATCTGAGCTTTCCATTTTATAAACACAGGCTTTCTTAAACTCTCATCTAAACTCTGCATTCTACAAGTACAGATTTCTTATAGAGTTTTATCTAATAATGAAGAAGAAGACGGTTGATAAAACACAAAACATTATATTTACAAGGTTCGAACGTTTCGGAATAACTCATTCCATCTTCAGCGAAATCTGAAAATCGTAATAACAACATTATTATTAACTAAAATTATAATGTAATATCATAATCACTAGTTTATTTAGTTATTAAGAGAATTCGTAAACGGATAAGTCAACGGTTATATAGATATTACACAGAAGTTGAGTTTAAGTACGAAAATTTAGAACAATTTTATATCCAAAAAGCTTTGTGAGTCAGGCGGTCTTTATCTATGAATTAACTTTCTTTAATGTAGAGTTCAAGGTCTGAAGATCCTGTGGTAATGATAGAGAAATCGTTAAATTAAATATTGTGACCTGTGGTTTCATTATCACAGGATCTTCAGATCTTGAACTCTACTTTATAGAAAGTTTATTCATACCTAAAAAAACGTCCGACTCATAAAGCTCTTTGGATATAAAAATTGTTCTAAATTTTCACATTTAAACTCAACTGTTGTGTAATATATATATATATATAATCATTGTTCTATATGTTCATTTATGACTTCTTTTAATAACTAAGTAACTAGTAATTATGATATTATATTATAATTAATAATCATCTTGTTATCACAATTTTCAGATTTCGCTGAAGGTGGAATGAATGTATTTCGAAATATTCGAACCTTTTAAATAAAATGTTTTGTGTTTTATCAACCGTCTTCATTTTCAGTTTTAGACTTCGGTTTCCCCATCATGAATCCGTTGCAAGTCTTGTTTAAACTCTACAAATAATATTTTGAGACTTCTATGAAAGAGCTAACTGTTTACATTAAAACATTTTTATGCATTATATTTCAATCTTTGTTCGGTAATTACACGTTGTTTCGTATTTTTCTCTTATTGTTTTTCAAAAGATATACATACATATATACTTATATGTTAAGTGTATATAAAATTCTAGGGAATATAACGGCCTAAAATGACATTATAAAAGTCACCTTTCTCTGGGTTTGTTTTCAATTTCATATTGAACCATAATTTTATTTAAAGTAACACAGAACCAAATTTATTGGCACAGAAATCAGCTGGGTGGCCTAGTTAGCCGGTTATTGTAATCTCGGACTAGGAGTATGATCTGCTAAAGTTAATGGTGATAAACACTCCGTTTACAATACCTTCATTTAAAAAACACATCTCGAAGGATGCTAAAAGCTATATTTTACTATGTAGTCTATTTTGAGACTGTATTATTCGATTTTTTTTCTTCTCAGAGGACAACATGGCAGTAAACATGAAGATGCTATTCTTGGGCGGACTGGTCGTAGCAACAGTTGCATTTGCTACAGTTGATTATGAATTTGAAAAGTGAGTTGTTTCTTTTTAAATATAATTACTTTGTTTATCAGTTTTGTAGAGCTTGTTTGTTTGTAGTTAAGCACAAAGCTACACAATGGGCTATCTGTGCTCTACCCACCACGAGTATCGAAACCCGATTTCTAACATTGTAAGTCCGCAGACATACCGCTGTGCCACTGGGGGGGGGGGGGGCTTTTGTAGAGCAAGTTTACTTAACTAAAAATGATGCCCTTCAAATTAATTAGTAAGTAAATCACATATGTCTTGCAACTAGTTTTAGTCTTCACAACTAACACCCACGAACCTGTAAACTAAACCAAATTTTCTAAAACAGTTAATGTACAGCTCTCATAAACTCACATAAATCTATCAACTAAAATCGAAATTTCTAAATCAGTTAATGTACAGTTCTCTCAATTAACGCACGTGTACCTATCATCTAAGACACAGTTTGACAAACAGTTAACAAAAATCAGACGCAACCGATTATATTTTTGTGAAATATTTTGTTTCTTTGAAAAACTACTTTTCTTTATAACCTGCAATTTCGTATATTGAAATTCTTTTTGAGCTATTTGAATATTTTGAAGTTTCAAAACTATTAATATAAAATATTAATATGATAACAAAATCAAACATGAATAATAAAGAATTTCAACAGCACGTGGCAACAATAAAGAAATGTCTCAAGATTATTGAAATAGATGTTCCAGTAACAATGGCTTTAACAAAAACCATATCAGTTCAAAGCTGGAAGTACATACGAATGCCAAATTATGATATTTTATTATTAGACAGTAATATACAGTAAGAATTGATGAGCGCGCATTAATCTTAAAATAATGTGGATGTTACGGAAACTCAAACAGTTTCATTGATGGAGATCTTTTAAACGTTATATATTGTCTTAATAGCTTATACCTTGAGAAGCTGGAAATAGAAATACACGCTTCTTGCTTAAATGATGAAAATCCAACAATTATCAAATGAATGCCTTACTTAGAACAGATATTCTTGGCATCAGTTTTAGCTGTCTTCCAGCCTGATACTTGTTTTAGCAATCTTATTATTTAAAGAAAGAAACGCAAATATAAAACAGTGTTTCGTCTATCAAACAAAACTTACTGCAATTCATATTACATTAAGAATTTTTTATATGATAGAAGCCTGAAAGACATCCTTGCTCAGAGAAAAGGTCTATCGTACATGAAAAACATGATCCATGATTTGGACTCTCGCCTGGAGAACCTACAGTAAGTTCTGTTTACAAATTTATCCCTAGAAAGACTCTAGTGAATTGTATTAATACACACTTTGCCTCATATATCAACTCACTTTGAATAAATCAATTAATTACTTTGTTATTCTTTTGCAGATACTAGTAACATATTATAAAATTCTGTGATGATTTTTCTTTCCAGAATCAATAGAAATATTACATTTAAGCTCGTGAGCTCCACACATTTCATTGTATATTCCTCTTAAGTTTTATTTTAATTGTGTATACGTTTTGGGATTTATATTTATTCTTCAGCCATTTTAGTTTAAATTTATAATATTTAAGAAAATGCAATAGTAAAATGTTTTCGTGTAAGTTTTTGAGAATGTAATACATATTATTTTATTTATTTTCGGTAACGACGTTCTAATCCGTTGTTGCTGGCAGCATCAATACAATTCAACAGATTATATCACCAGGATCGTTATGAGAAATATTGATGCTTGCTACATTAATACAATTTATCAGATTAAAATACCAGGATCGTTATGAGAAATATTGATGCTTGCTACATTAATACAATTTATCAGATTAAAATACCAGGATCGTTATGAGAAACATTGTTTCTGGCAGCATGAACACAATTCAACAGGTTAGATTACTTAGTTCTATATGAGAAACATTAATGGTGGCAGCATTAATACAATTCAACACATTAGATTACTTGGTTGTTTATGAGAAACATTAATGGTGGCAGCATTAATACAATTCAACACACTAGATTACTTGGTTGTTTGTGCGAAACGTTGATGCCGACAGCATTAATACAATTCAACACATTAGATTACTTGGTTGTTTATGAGAAACGTTGATGCTGGCAGCATTAATACAATTCAACAGATTAAATTACCAGGCTCGTTATGAGAAACACTGATGCTGGTAGCATTAATACAATTCAACAGATTAAATTACCAGGCTCGTTATGAGAAACACTGATGCTGGTAGCATTAATACAATTCAATAGATTAGATTACTAGGTTCTTTATGAGAAATAGAAGAACACTTATAAGCACTTGATTGATCTGATAACTGTCAGACCAAGAGAGATTTTATATAATCAAGAGAAAATTACCAGAAGACAATATCACAATAACATTTCGTCGATACGAAAGAATAAAACTTTATATTCAAGTATGTTCATTGTTTTAACTTCTTTTGTATATCTAGTAGTATATGGAATTATATCGACCATTTTGTTTTCTTTTTAAATTAGAAGCCTGTGCCAAAATAACTTATTTGACGTGATTTAACCCGCGTATCTTAGCCAAAAATGTACTTGAATGAGTTTAAAGTTTGTTGTTTTCGCGTTCTGCTCATTCACACAAGTCCATATAGTATTCAGCACCAGAACCTTGGTCCGAGATATAAAACCTTAAAAACTAAGTAGTGAAAGCTAAATGTTCTAATGTTGGGATGTGGAGGATTTATGCATTTGTGGATGAGGAAACTTTAAACCATTACTATTATCACTTCGGCTGACTTTACGAAAGCACTTTAATAAAATCGTGCAGTTATTTTGATATGTTAGAACAGTTAAAATGTAAAAGAGAGTAAGGTAGATTGGTCGGCTACGTAGGTTTCTAAACATAAAGGAAAATAAAATACACCATTATGTGAATTGATTTCATATCATTTCTCTGGCTGTCTACTTTAGCCGACGTTCTTTGCAGAGTCTACCACTAGAATAATCTCGACAATCAAACTCTGTAATGTACTAGATATATGCTCTGATAATCCTATCTATTGCCTACGTTTTTTAAAGCCATATGTGGTGAATGTGTGAAATGTTTATCAGGTTATCCATGGATTGCTTTAGCGCTTTCTTTTCAGAAATATTCTCCTGAAAGGCTCTTCAAATAGACGGCCTGCCTTAATCGCAGCCGTAATTTTCTATTCTTTCGTTCTACTGCGTGAACGAATGCATTCAACTTTAACGAGATAGTAAATTATTCTCTCAACAAGCTATGTATATATATATATATACACTAATAAAGTATCACTTTCTTCAAACAAGCAATGAATTTTCATTTACAGCTTGTTACGGTAATTATGTTTCTCTGTTTCTCGATTCAAAATAATCAATACAAAACTTACAGATTTGCCGCATTTTATGTCACTTTTTTATGTTTCAAAAAATGTTTTTATGATTTATGTTTTTAATAGTAAAGTTTCATTTCATCATTTCATACAAAAATCTCATGTATAGTGATAAATAAATATCGATACACTTCTTCGTTAGAAACGATATCAGAAACCTATAAACGTAGGTCTCTCACATCTCAAGTAACAATATGAGTGTAGTTATCTCAATCGTCTGGAGCAGTAATGATATGAATGAAAGTAATTCAAATCTCTGGAGTAGTAATATATGAATGTAGTTACTTCTAATCTCAGGAGTAGTAATAATATGAATGTAGTTACTTCTAATCTCAGGAGTAGTAATAATATGAATGTAGTTACCTCAATCGTCTGGAGCAGTAATGATATGAATGTAGTTACTTCTAATCTCAGGAGTAGTAATAATATGAATGTAGTTACATCTAATCTCAGGAGTAGTAATAATATGAATGTAGTTACTTCTAATCTCAGGAGTAGTAATATATGAATGTAGTTACTTCAAATCTCTGGAGTAGTAATATATGAATGTAGTTACTTCTAATCTCAGGAGTAGTAATAATATGAATGTAGTTACATCTAATCTCAAGAGTAGTAATATATGAATGTAGTTACTTCTAATCTCAGGAGTAGTAATAATATGAATGTAGTTACTTCTAATCTCAAGAGTAGTAATATATGAATGTAGTTACTTCTAATCTCAAGAGTAGTGATATATGAATGTAGTTACTTCTAATCTCAGGAGTAGTATAAATATGAGTGTAGTTACCTCAAATCTTAGGAGTAATAATAATATGAATGTAATAGTAATAGATTAGTAATAATATGAATGTAGTTACTTCTAATCTCAGGAGTAGTAATATATGAATGTAGTTACTTCTAATCTCAAGAGTAGTAATAATATGAATGTAATAGTAATAGATTAGTAATAATATCAAGGTGGGTACCTCAAGCCTTGGAATGGTGGTAATTTTTTCTATATTTTGAATATGGTGCCGAAAGCTATATAAACAGTAGTCTTGCGTTGTTCCAAAGTATTCCAAGAACGTTTTAGGCGTTCTGAATCTCAACAATTTTTTAACAAGCTCGATAAGAATAATAATATGATAAAAACAGTGTGTGTGTGTTTTTCAGATGCCTTTCCACAGAAACATTGACACAGGTTCTATCATATGTATTGAAATAGAGCGAGCTAAACGAACTTCAACAGTAGAGGTTTTTCACACCCAAGTGATATCAGATATCACTTCAACAGAAGAGGTTTTGAAGCAAAAACATGTCGATGTCCTCTTTAACACCTTCCATTTTTTCCTATTAAGATGGTGTTGCAGCGAATGGTGATCTGATGGTGCCATATCTGTAGAATATGCTGGGTGGGGGAGAACTTGCGTCAAATGTGCCACAAGTGGGCGTGCATTGTCATGGAGAATACCACCTTTCCGATTGACGAGTGAAGGGCGTTTCTGATGAAGGGCTTCATTTAAACGTTCCAGTTGCTGAATACAGATCTTTGCATTGCCAGTTCGCTGTGGATTGAGGAGTTCGAAATGAATTACTCCTTTGATGTCCTACCAAATGCAAAGCATCACTTTCTGCGGATGGAGTCCAGGTTTTGGGGTCGGGAGTGGTTTTTGTCTAGGGCTGAGTCATTGTTTTTGGTGTTTAATATTCACATATAGAATCCATTTTTCATCACCGGTGACACTTCTATCCAAAAATGGTT